GGGAAGTTCTATCATCAGCAACATTTCAAATGAAACTTAAGGAGATACTTCAGAGAAATAACCTGAACTGGCAAGTGGAGAGATGTAGCTCATCTCTGTAATGGTGCAGAAGCCAAAAGCAAGCTAGCATGTAAGAAAAAAAAAAAGTATCTGACTGAGCAGGCAGTCCTTATCCTTTATTTTTGTTTCATAGGCAACAGCTGTTTTATGTAATACTCATAGAACCACTGGAACAGTCTATCTTCTGATGAGTCACTGTATACTTGTTAAATAGCTCTATCCTTTCCATTTCCTTCAAGTAAAACAAACATGGACACTACAGATAATTATGTGACCCTTAAGATATCTAGAAGCAGGGTTTTCCAAAGGAAAATTTTTAATGAGTCAGACACCTAAGTAACAGCAGGATGAACAACTTTGAGAAGAACTCAAAACTTTGCATGGGTTTAGCCCTTCTCAAAATCTAGCCACTTATGTCAGTGCCTGCACCTAGCCCAAATTCCTCTACAAATGTGGTCCAGACAATGTATGCTAAATTCCACTGAAATTTGGTCCTTGTTATGTATCTTCCCAAACCACTGAAAAGAACAGGTTTGTAGTTAGAAAAAAAAAAAAGATCCAAATACTTAATGAAGAAAGAGCAGACTAAAAAACTTGGCCGAATTATTTTTCCAGGTATGTTTGAGGTCTAAATCTGCTCATCATCTTTACACAAATACCTAAGAGAATCAATCATGATTCTTCAAATGTCAGGTCTTCAGAAATGAGACCCAGCTAATGCTTTCACACTTGTATGCTGAGAAGAGGCTCTCTTGATCTGTATAGTGACACGTTTGGTCATAATATTGAACACAACCTCTAATAATCATTATGTCCAGTTTCATACTAAGATGAAGAGAGAGGAAAGTCTGAACGTGGGCACTCAAAACTTTTGGGGTGTTTTTCCAAGAGTAGATGTTTGCAGGAAGTCTGTATTACATCAGACTGCTATACTGTTTTGAAAGGACACAAAATGTCCATATAGTAACACTACATGGGCAGCTGTCATTATACATGCAGCATTATCTTTCAATGTAGTTATATACAGCATTTGTATTACTGCCAGTTAATCAGTCGTTGTCACTATTTGGTTATCAAACAAACAATCTGGGAACTCTGAATCATTCACACTCCCCATGGTGCAGACTCCTCTCAATTTTCAGATCAGGCAATCAGGTCCTTTTCTTCCTAATGCTTAGAAAGCACTCAGGAATTTTTTTTTTTCTCTGAAAAGAAACCACCAGATAGCATTTTATACTGAATTTGCTCAGACTTCTGGAAACATCTATTTCATACTAGGTATACTCAAGTTGACCTGTTATTAGAATAATCACTCCAGTTTACTTTGTGCAAAACTTGTTACATGGTATCTATGCTTACAGCTTTAAATGTTGATCTTCAAGATGGAGGAGTTTTATGTCCTCATCTGCTGAACCATATAGGAAAACATCATGTTCATATATGGCATACAGCAGTACTTTTGATTCATTAGCCTTACTCAGTAAAACAGTGGCAATGATATATTCAGTTTTGTTCTTCTTCTTTGAAACAGAATCACCATGCTGCATAAGTCCTGAAGAAGAAGAATATGTGAAATTTACAGGGGGAAAAAAACAACATAAGAAACTCACATGCTAACCAAGAGGGATTTTACTGCAATGAGGGTGCATTTTAAAATTACACTTCCCGCAATGTTTGGGACTGATTCTTCTCATTAACGGAGGAAGGCTAAACTTTTTTTTTCAATTGGGTATGAATGAATATGCAGGGCTGACAGTCAGCCCTTTATCAGAGAACACGTTCAAGCACGCATCATGTTAGTTCCAGCTTCTCCAACATGGCCCCATCCGTCTACTCCTTTTGTGACATCTAACAATGTAAGTTTTAGTTTCCATTCTTACTGAGTCATTAGTCTCTCTGTGGATACTGGAAATAAAGACAATCACATATGGCTAATTGTGGCAGATATCAGATTACAGAATCCGTATACCCAGTGGGGACTCAAAGGCAGGGAGAGAAACAGAGGGCTTCAAATTACAAACCCCATCAGTAGGAATCAACAGGGCATTTCAAAATGAGAGATTACATTTTCACTGACAAAGAGCATCTTTGCCACAGGAAAACAATCAGGTGTTAGGTGTTCTGTAAGTACAGTGTGCATTTCATTTACAAAAATAAAATTCAATTTTGATAATCAGGGATAAAAAAGTACTTCCTGTTGATCTCACAGTACACTACTAAAGCCATGCCCTGACATACAATTCTCTAATGAAATAACAGAGATGTTTATAGCTATACAAACAAACAAGAAAAATTCCTTGGCTTTGTCTTCACTAAGATAACTCTGTGTACCAAATTCTGCTGGGAGCAACAAACTGAGCATTGTGTCAGGTTCTTTGACCTCCCCTGAAAACTACTGCTTTTAGTATACAAAACCTGAAAGATGAGTGATAGGTAGGATAGCAAAAGAAGAAAAGAAGGAACATTGTACTTTTCTGACCTTCTACTGTCTGATGGCCAGATGACAGAGGGTTGGTAGGGAACACTATGGTTATATGTAATGAAGGGGAACGTCTGAGGCAAGAAGACTTCTCCTTGAAAGAGACTATAATGGCTGCACGCTCATGACATTTAAAGGTGGTTTTGGATCAGTTCTTCATGACAAATTTCATTAATGTTTCTTCATGACTGAAGAAACATTCATCACTGAGCTCAACTGGATTTGAATAGAGTTTGGAAGGCAAAATCCTTCTAGGCTAGCAGCTACGCTAGATTCAGCTCCACTCATGTTATCATGGGTGAGTACTATATCATGAAACCTTTCTCAAAGCACATCTAGACTAACTGACTCTTTCAAATGACACCAGAAATTAAGATACATATCCAATTTCTATTAGTCAAGTTGTGCCTATAGCTAAAAATCACTACTAAGAAATCACTGTTAAGATGTGAAGAAAGACAACTTTAAATTTTTTCCAGCATATGCATACCCTTCAAGAAGTCTCAAAGATGTGAAGGAGTCTACAGAGTTAGTAATTTGAACTTCTCCCACTGACTGGCTGCCAAACTCTCTCTGTAATTCCAAACTAAATAACATGCAGCAAAACAACACAGGTGAATTCAGTCAATACTTTCATTTTAATGTTCTCTTTGCACAGAAACAAGAGGCCTTTGAGGTTTTCAAATTTTCCACAACCGAAACTCAAGATACTTATGAAGTCAGTCCCATTTGCACAAAGCCTACCTTTTTATAAGGAAACTGTCATTGTGATAAAGCCTATTTTAATCAGAACGCTTCAGCACACTGCATACAGCAATACAGCCAAAAGCTGGTCCTGAAATGAAAGTATTTCCATCCTCCCAACTTACTGGAGCACTGGTGCATTATTTTAGGACTAGCTTGAAAGACCATAAAAAAAAGGAAAAAGCGACTCAGAACTCTAGTTTCTCATTGATAGTCAGCTTCATTTTTGTTTTTCCTTTTTTCCCCCCTTTTTTTTCCATATGTGTGTTCATGTATGTTTGGCACATGATAATCATGGCAAGAACTTTATCAATACTGACATTACTCCTCAAAATTCATTTCGGACAGATGACTTTCATGGCTCCCATAATTCCTAAGCCGTCTGCAGGATTTGTAACTCACAGAATCAGAAACTAACGCACAGACAGTGTAGCTTTTCATACAAAGGCACAATAGGAATGAATGTATTAACCTCTGTGGTGCATGGAATGTGTCAGTTTACACACTGGCAGCTATTTCTGTGAAACTCAGCTAACTTCCGCTGGCTGTGTTAAAATTAAAAAAAAAAAATCTTCCCCACAACTATGTCCCACGCTCCCGTATGCTGGCCAAACAACTGAAATATTTGATGTTGCAGAGAGTCTACTCCATACTGATGCTGGCCAAACTGAGTTTGAGAATGCATTTTACAAGTACTGTTTATAAATGCTGAGCTTTTTCAAGCAGGTATAAAGCTCTGCTTTTCCATGTGACTTGGCAAATAATGAGTGGGGAGACAAATTAGCAATGAAGAGTATGGGATTTTTTTTGTTCCTGCAGAAGAGTGTCAATCCAGACTTTGCAGAACTAGAGATGATTTGGATCTTCATTTCGTTTTAGTCCCAAATTTTACCCAGCTTAATCCTACCAGGAAAGCATACATGGCAGGTAACAAAATTCAAACTGTTGACATGGACATCGCATTTGCTTACTTCCCATGATTTGACAAGGGTATGTATAAGGGCTGATCAGGAATATCTGAGGAACATCTGCACCACTGTCATTAAGACCCATGGACACCCTAATACGTCCAAAATTTAGAGTGATATTGGGAGTTGTGAATCAGATACATCTGGCTATCAGGCCAACCCTTTCACGTAGCTCAAAAAAAAATTCTTTAGTGTCTTTCCACCTGTTTTCTAATTGCCTATGTTAAATTAGTATAATCACTAATTATCTGCACTACAGCAGTGCCTAAAATGTGCTGGGTACCACAAAACACTGTAGGAGGGGCCAGTCATTGTCCTGAAGAGCTTACAGCCTAAAAGGACATAATCAAGTTAAGAGACTTTTAAGCAGTTTAAAAGTGCCTGTCAGGACAGAGCTTTTCTGCCTAGCAATGCCTTTCCTTTTGCTAGTTTACACCTAGCCAGAAATTTACAGCCTGCATCAGAACTATCTAATGGAGAAGACAAGCAAACATACTGCTCTGTGGAAATTTGAAGTACAAACCTAGAAGCAGTTAAATTGACAATAAAGACACAAAAAGGTAACAAGAAATTCCCTAAACATAAAAGGAAAATGTATGTGATTTGTCGATTATTTTGCTTCAGATGCAAATTTTATGTGAAGAGAACAGACCAAAACCCCTGTTAATTGCATTGTATTCAAATGGAAGAGAAAACTGTTTTTCATATTTACTTAACCTTTGCCTCTTCTGCATTGTTTTCAGACTTACCTGCAGTTGGAGTGGGCCTAAGCCTGGTGTTGCTGCGGCAGCAGCTGCCATGGTAGTTGGGATCAGCTGAACGGGGTAAGGGTCACCTAAGTAAGAGAATAATAGAGGCGTCAGCACCTTTTATCTACTCTCCACCTGCAAATTAAAGTCCTGCATTCACTCTTTCCAAAAGCCTTCTTTTGTGTGCCTTGTTGAGGCCTAATGAAAAGCTCTATTGTGCAGCCTTTTACTAACACTCTTTTCACAATTCTGGCTGAGAGAGGAATGTGAATAAAAGGCACAAGCAATTAAGGCGGAAACCTCATCCTTTTTCATGATGTATTTAGGGAAATGGAAAAAAAAAAAGTGCACATTGATCAGAAGGCTGCACTTCAAAAAAAAAAAAAAAAGCAAAGAAAGAAAGAAGATGGGGGTGGAGAAGAAAAGGAAAACAATACAACCTTGATAAGATCACAGCATTAGAAGGGGACAAATTTAGAAGCTTGTCCAGAATATGAAGTTAACCAAACTCTGTTCACTGTTAGTAAACTAAGCCTCACACAGATCAGAAATGGCACTCCCTTTCTTTTTGGGGAGTAAAAAAAAATCTTGCTTTAGTTTCCAGGATTGTTCCTACAACCGGCAAAAGCACGTGAAGTTAAGTAAATCAGATGCAAGCCTCCAAAATCCCTGTGCCAACTCTACTTCATGACTTGTGATTCAATTTTGCTTCTGAGGGAAAACTACTTCAGTTTTAGTAAGGACAGCATTGTGCTCAGTGAGACAAAGGGAGCCACTAAAGGTTTAAGAAAAAATTGCAGGTGTTTATAAAGAAAAACTACCTGAGATGGCAAAAATCAAAATGGAGACAGGCATGTTTTAGTATTATGGAGTGCTCACTTTTGGTCACTCCTTATGTATCTGATTTCTTAAAACAAACTTCATACTAGCTTATCAACAAAACCATTAAGAAAACCGGTAAAAAATCATAAAAAATGTTACATGCATTATACTGCTTTTCTAAATGATAAAATGTTTAAATACTTTCCACTCAAATAAGGATCACCAGAGCAGTGTTCTTAGTTCTAGTAGTGTGTATGATTTCTGTAGCATTAAAAAAGTGAATTGAAATGAGACTATGGAAAAGGCAGAACACTGTATCAGGAAAATCTACCTAAATGTTCCTGTACATTTCATTAAAGAGGTAGATTAAAAGTCTTCCTCCTTTATTGTGCTTTTTTGAGTGAACTGGGGAACAAAAAGATGAATTAAGAAGGCAATGCAGACTGTTGTGTACAATCACTATTAGTTATTATTGAATTAAGTTTATAATGGTATCAAGCCTAAGTTACAGGAGACAGAAAACAAAGGGAAAGAAATTTATCTCATGTTTTTGAAATGTAGAAATAAGCTGTGTTTCAGAATAATTGCTGATGTTTATTTTTTCCTTTTATAGTGCAACCTTCTTTACAGAGATCTTTTCATTCGAGCATTTTGATTTCCTGGTAAGAATTAAATACTATAACTTCTAGAAATGAAGAGCCAGAAAAAAACTGGTCTGGCAAAGTATCTTAACAGATATTTAACTTCAACAAGCATGCCTGCTTATATTTAAAAACATCTTAACTGTTTACTGACTGAAGCCTCACAGTCTTATTAAGGCTGGCCAGCCAAGTAATGGGAATCCAAAGGTACACCCAGGCATCCCCATTCATAAATGTCTGCACCAACACCAGGCCATAACCTATTTATTTATTTGTTTGTTTGTTTATTGTCAATGGGCAAAGATTTCCTGACTTGCTTGGGTTTTTTTCCCTAGAGGATGCCATTTCACATGTTCCAGTTTCACTTGGCTTTAACTGACTCATCCACTTTTTGTTTCACATCATGGATTGAATTTAAAATTTCTCTGACTTGAAATTCTCTGGAGAGGGTCATGAGGTGATCCAAGCAGTGGGCCTTAAACATGTGAAGATATGGAGAAAAAAGAGACGGTGGTTAAAGAATCAGGGTCAATGGTGTTTAGCTGCTTCTACACCACGAGTAGCTCGAAGGCTAATCCTAGTATCGTTCTGAAAGACGCCTCTCTAGAAGAGGACATTTTTTTCAAGAACCAGCCACAAAAGAATATAAAATTATTAATTTCTCAACAGCAAAGAAGAGAACAAGGGAAAAAGTTTCTCACTAGAATGTTTATTTTACAGCCCATGAAAATTTGTAGTTAAGAATTATTTGTATTTTACAGCCCATGAAAATTTGTAGTTACAAATTATTTGTACTAAAACATACATATCACAAGATTAACTTCAATGTACTGTCTCACATTCCCCTTCTCTCTACACAGATGTATAAGCCTCAGACCATCTTCCCACAACTTTATGCTAATTCATAAATCCCACTATTCTCACCTTCCTAAACAGCCAGGCAGATTCTCATAACCTCATATGTGGTGGTAATTCCTATCCTTTACAGTTAATTTGGCAGATATATCAAGGAGATGCCTGTGACAGAAGAACATGATAAAGTCTCCATGGCCATGTGAAAACCCCATAGCCATGTGCATGGGTGCAACTGCTGGCTTTGGCGGTGCAGCTAACACCTCTGGGACTCTTTAGGAGACCATGCTAGAAAGTAACTACTACACCAATACATGCTAACAAAGTTTTTCAGAATTCTATGGAAAAAAATCAAAATTCATCCTAAAACCAGATTATCGCTATGCAGAGATAGGCTCTGCAGTCTACCAGGTTTTTTTTTTGTTAGTTCACTCTTCAAAGGGTTTTACATTTTTCCAGTGCTCCAAAATATTTTTAACAAACAGAAACAAACAAATCTGAAAGGCTTCTGTAACATATAATGAATCTGCATTGTTATGCTTTGGTAATGTCCTCTACTATTTTGCGCTTGTTGTAGGAGTTTAGCAACTCTTTTTATGAAGAAAAGTATACTCCCTGCCTGTGCTGCAGCTCTTTCACAAGTGCTACTCACACACAGTATATACCCAGATTACTGCTCCCATGGTACAGACACAGTAGCAGCAAAGCAGCTGGAGGAAGGTACAATAATAAGCAGAGACACCATCAGGGTTAGCAGTCCACTGTGTTTGCCCTGATACAAATGTCTAACAAAAGACTGCCCTGTCTGGAGGAGCTTACTGTCCACAGGAGACAAAACACAAAAGAGCAAGGAATATGCTCAAATGCTGTGCCATGCCCTAGGTCACTCAACAAGCCAGTGGGAGACCCAAGATTAAAAGCCCCACACAACTCTTCAGACAGTGCCCAGGGAAGGCCCTATATCAATGAGGAGGCCAAGCACTTACATGCTCACATCACATGGTGCAGGAGCAACTGTCACCCCTTCAAATACTAACAAATGCCTCGAGTCTCTTCTGATAAATATGTACCTCTCACACTTTGCTGTTACTGCAGAACATGATACATCTTTCTACTGGCCTGAAATTTATTCCCGTATCAGACTGAAGGTAGTTTAGGTTAATTCTGAGTAGTTTAGGTTAATTCTGAAGTCTGGGAAATGCACGTCTTAACTATTTCATTACTTCTTGTAAGTAATGTAAGTAAGTAAGTATCTTATTTCTAGATGTAAAAAGTTGCTACATTTTTTTTCCCAAGCTCTGGGAACATTTCAGGAATGCGAGGCTAGGTACAGAGTTATTAGAAAGAGGTATTTCCCAAGCCATTCACAAGTCTGAATCACTGAAAACACCAATCAATTCTTGAACAACTGTATTACAACTCAATTTACAAAATTCACTATTAAGCTACTAACACACACACAGAGGCAGGAATGTACCTCCCTGAATCTTTCAGCTACCAAAAGAAACAGTTTATGCAGTCCTTTCATGTTCCCAACTGTCTCTTGTTATGTGCGGGCTTTTCTTATAAACAAAACATCAGAGATAAGTTTGGTTGTTGCTTTTCTTTAGTACACTATATGGTAAAATCATGCAGGTCAAAGGCTGGGATTTTTTTTTTTGTGAGAACAAGGTAAAAATTATTTTATTAGCTGACATATTCTTCTCTAATATATGATTGTTTCCCAGCTACTCAGTGATATCACTTTGAAAAACAGAATTATTCAAGACTGATTACATGCGAAGAGCAGAAGGACGTATGTACTGGTGATACAGCACCTAAAGAATCGAATGGGATATGTCAGCCTGAGGGAGCTGATGGGCTGTATTAGAGGTGTTGATACCAGCAAAGGAGAATACCAGCGGCTCGGGGAAGAAAAAAGCCTAGGCTGAACCCTCAATTCCATGCCAATTCTGTATTTCTCTATCCTTCTTTTGGTCCATCTTCCACAAACATACCCAGAACCTCTTTCCTGATAATTTATGCGCTGCAACTTCTTTCAATTTCAAATCACACCTTCATCCTTGCCCAAAAAAATCTTCCAAGATCTTGCTTACAAGAGGATTTTTCATGAAGTACACTCACTTTTAAACCACTCTTTCTATGAACTCTCCCTATCATCCTCCACTGAAAACACTTTTCTGTGAAAGTAAATTGTGGTACAGAGCCAAGTGGACATCGTGTCCCAAAACACAAAATAACAACCCTGTGTTTAGGAACTTGATTTTCAACTAACTAGCTACCAAGCTTATGGATACTAAATGATTGTACACTTGTGGAAATGCAACAGTGATTTTTAAACCATTTATATGTTTTGCAAAATTTTATCAAAGGAGTTTAGTAAGTTAAAAACATTAAGATTTTTTTAAAAAGAGAAAGGAAAGCATAGGAGCTAACATTATGTGTGTTGCACCATTCACTTAAACTCATAAGATGATTTTTGCATTCCTTTTTCTGTCACTCATTTATTCTCCTTCATGGTGTAATCCCCACTAGAGTCTTGTCTTGTCTTACCTTCTGACAGGCTGCAAGCTCTTCAGAGCAAGCACAATTGTCTTACTTGCTATATAAATCAAGTTACATGCTAATGTTAAATTATAATGTTTTGACAGGATTTTTAAGTTGAACCTGATTATATGAAACAATAGAACACTCTGATTTTTTTCCTGAAATTTTCTTCTTCAAAAAGAAATTATAACAGAAGAGAAGTAGGGGGGTTATTTCCCATGATT